CGATGGTAAACCGTGTCTAACGATGGTAAACCGTGTCTAACGATGGTAAACCGTGTCTAACGGTGGTAAACCATATCTAACGATGATAAACCATGTCTAACGGTGGTAAACCGTGTCTAACGGCGGTAAACCGTGTCTAACGGCGGTAAACCGTGTCTAACGGCGGCAAACCGTGTCTAACGGCGGCAAACCGCGTCTAACGGCGGTAAACCGTGTCTAACGGTGGTAAACCGTGTCTAACGGCGGCAAACCGTGTCTAACGATGATAAACCGTGTCTAACGGTGGTAAACCGTGTCTAACGGTGGTAAACCGTGTCTAACGGCGGTAAACCGTGTCTAACGGCGGCAAACCGTGTCTAACGGCGGCAAACCGTGTCTAACGGCGGTAAACCGTGTCTAACGGCGGTAAACCGTGTCTAACGGCGGCAAACCGTGTCTAACGGCGGTAAACCATGTCTAACGGCGGTAAACCGTGTCTAACAGCGGCAAACCGTGACTAACAATCGTGCACACCTAGTTAAACTACAACAACATGAAGGTTAAACGACAACATAGTGTAAGCCAATAAAGTGATCGTTGCATGACCGACTGTTTAAAAACCTTTTATGAAAAAAAAAAGAATAAAACCATCTGCACCCAGCCATGAAATAAACACTTTTGTTGGCTTTTAAGAAGGTGTGGTGTGCGTGTCTAACTGGCCAGATTACAGAAGTAGCTTATGGGCCTTGGCGGGTGTACTATTGATAATCTTGCCAAGCTAAAAGTGTGTTAGGTTGCCTTAGTTAGCCTGGTTCTAGTGGTCTGGGTCAAGGAAGTGTTTTTTCAGAAGGAGTTATATATAATCCAAACCCAGTGTGAAAATAGAAGAAACTGTAAGGTTTCCATCAGGGCTCTACCCTAACCACCATAACCACACCTAAACTTAGACCAGCATCTCTGGAAACATTGTAGAAGAGAACATCTCTGCAGTGGTTCGATTGGGTCCACTGGAACATGGTTCAGAGCAGGACTCAGGCCAACCTCATGATTCTAACCCACTCTTTTTCTCCCACACAGCGAGTTCTTTGAGAGGACCATCCTTTGTAACAGTTTGGTGTGGAGCTGTGCGTTAACAGGCAGAGCAGGCCTCACCTACCTGGAGGCGGTGGATAGTGAGCGACGGGCCAAGCAGAGTCTGCAGAACTTTCCCCAGGTTCTGATGGTACCTCTGTTCCACCTGGCTGCTCTGAGCCGCCGCTGCAGGCTGTCGGAGCTCTGCGAGGATGTTTACTCATTCGCCAAAGACCGTTTCTTTCCTGGAGAGGTGGTGGATGTCAGCGGACGTAATGGTGCCAGGTAACGGCAGAAACTAGATTTCTGATAATACCAAAAAGTTCTGAAAGGGGTTCCTGTTAGAAAATGTATTTGTTTCTCTTAAATTATCCAGAACAATATGAACTTTTTCTTCCTGTGTTTCTGTGTGTGTGTTTTTAGGCATGTCTGTGAAATCCTGCAGGTGCATGCACCATACTCCACTGCTAATGTAGCCCCGCCCACTAATGGCCACAGTGTTTCAGCTCACAATGATATAATTGTCATCAGTGACAGTGATGACGAGAGTGACGCTTTCCAGTGTCCCACCACCCATTTCAACGGGTCAGTAGATGAAAATGGCTCAGTTCTGTAACTTTATATGAAGCCATGCTTCCAACTGTCAGATTTATTACAMAGTAATACAGTTAGTTATTACAGACAAATATGTTCACATCTGTGTAGTTTTGTCATTCTAATCTCTTATGTAGATAAACAAGACTGTCAAAAGCACAAGAAATCTCACAATCTTAGGCCTCAGTTGTACAACATGTTCTTCAGATATTTTCCACCAATATAAAAGTTKTTTTTGTTTAAACAGAATTAGAAATTCCAAAACTAAATAGTTGGAATAACCATGACAATTCTACCATGAGAATAACAAGGTTGTTTGTGTTTGTCAGCAGGAAGAAGAAACCTCTCAGTCCATCTGAATTTAAATACACAGTGAGGATGGTTAAAGGTGAACACAGTAAGACATTTACTGTCAAAGCCAGTCAAATCAGGTAAGGAGCTTTTATAAACAAGTCTCTACATATCAGGGATATCATCTTTTATTGGCCTCCWTTTCCCCTACAAAAGGTCAAACTGAGCAGTATCACCACACACCTGATTATAAACTCTGGACACTTAATTCTGAATATAAACAAGATACTACCAGATAATCAAATACTGCTGTTGTAGTGCTGGATCTTCTGTACTGTGCTGACATCAGCTTCACTTGAACGAAGCAGCTGGTGTGTCCTTCAAATCACGAGTGATCCGTTGATGTGACCAGGACAAAGATCTGATTGGTCAAGCTGGGAGTCCCACAGCCAGGAGGAGAACATTATGTAGACGTTTTAAAATGGGTGGGAGGCTGAAAAACGTCACAGGGATTTGGTTAAATTTGGGTCAGAAAGTGTAAATTAGATGTTTGTTTTTTTCCACGATTCCAAAAGTTCAGTCATGTTTAGATTAGGTGTAAATTAAGAGCTTTCCACCAGGTAAAAATATCAGGTGTAAAGTTCTGAAACCTTCCTTCTATTACCTTGAGTGTTTTCATTCTGTTGTTTCATGGACTGCATTTGGTTTGAAATGTCCAGAAGGGTTGGTCTGAGTATTCACAACAAAACTGGCTTTCCATAAAGGAGAACTCTAAATTAAATTTGAGGGCTTTATTACTTGGATTTAGTTCAGGTGTTTACTGAAACCTTGATCAGCGTGAACAGTTGTCTTAGAGTTCCTGAGAGAATAAACTTTTGTTTGTTTGTCTTTTCAGYCGGAGGAAGTCCGCTCTGTCCAGAGAGAAACTCAAGCTGCTTTTTAAGCAGCATTGTGAGGTTCAAAGGGGGGTTATTACCCTGAAGGTGAGACCACTATCATGGGTTAGGGTTGGTTTTTTGCTCAGWTTCTTACTGGAACTCTACTGCAGTAAGTCCTGTCTGTCCCAGCCTTCCACAGTGAAGAAGTACAGCCTGTCTGAACAGAACTTTACTCACTTCTTTCCTGATGATCCACCTTTCTTCCACTTCAGCTCCACTTCTAATGGGGGCTCACCTGGACAGGTAGGCAGTTGAACCAGATYAGTGCTCTGGGTCTTAGGTTTGGCTGATATTGACAAACAACAAATGACTGTTTATTATGACATTTAGCCAAAAACAATTCATGACAGTTGATAGATGACAATTACACTTGCATGTTTTTGACTCTAAGTCAGTTACCTTGTGTTCTAAAGTTATATTTACAAATCCTCAGGAAAAATTAAGATGAGGTTGATCATTTCCATTTTGCCTGCTTGTTTGTTTTCTTCATGTCTTTTTTACATTGTAAGGAGCAGTGAACTCTGTCGTCAGATATTTAACAGGTCTCATAACCTCTGTAGCATGAGAGCCCCATGAACAGGAGTCAGGGCTTACAGTTCTCCATCACCAGGATGGATAAATAACTCTGTTTTCTGTTCCAGTCTCGTTAAAGCCATCAAATTTAATCACACAGGATTAAACAGACACTGCTTTCAACAAATCAAATGAACCACTGAGCCACAGTTTATCCAATCAGAGCAGAGCAGGTGAGGCCAGGTGCAGCACTGATCTACAGCTCCTGTCCTGACTGAGCAGACCTCTTCTCCCACACTTTTTATCTAAACCTGAAAAAATATTAAATGTTTGTGTTAGGAGCGTCGTTGTCAAACAGATGTGTCCAACTTTGCACAAATGACCAAACTCCTCTCTCCTCGTGAGAGAGCGCTGCTGCAGGTCTATAAGTTTTTTTAATAAGATTACTGTTTCCTGCTGCCTCCTGCATCTTTTTCACAAAAAAGTGTGGTGTATACTATCTATCATATCTCCAGTTTGACTTGACCATTTGAAAAACTGATGGAGTTTGAAGTCTCTACTTTTGACTWCAGTTGAAATGATCTCAGAGACTTTCCATCTTTCTGCTTAGAGTGATTTAAATAGGTCATGTGACTAGAATGAGGGGCTGCGTGCAGTCACTCCAGAGGGTCAAATAACTGCATTATTGGTAATAAAGCAACGTCATCAGAATAAATGTAAAAAGCAACAAGCATTTTATGACATTATCTGACTCTGGAATAATCTGAGAATTGGTCCAACATTTCTGATCTTTTAATATGAGATGAGTCTTTCTAAAAAAATCCACTGTTTCCAGGTGTGTGTGTCTCCACTGAATGCACTGGAGGAAAAACTGAAGCTGCTGCAAAAGAAGGAAGAGATGAGAGCTGCAGCTCAGGATAGAGCTCGACTGAAGGACCAAGAGGAGTTGCAGGAGGCTAAAAGGAGGGAGAGGGAGGAGCAGAGACAACGGTTTGAAGAGGAGAAACACAGGAAGAAGATGGAAAAGGAGCAAAAAAAGCTGGAGAAAGAGAGAGTAAGGGACTCCCTGTCAACTAGAAAATTTTCTTAACAAAAGATTGACACTTGAAACTCTGATCAACAGGAACGAGAAAAGCTCAAAGAAGAAAAGAAAAAATTTGCTGAACGTCTGAAGCAGATGAACCAACCCAGAGAAGATATGGATTGTGAAGACCTAAGGGTCAGTAAACACATCACTGTTCAGGCAGACATGGTGGAGTTAAACTGGGTAATTTGCAAATTGTTCACAGCTTTGGAAACTTTGAAAGGAAGCAACACATACATACAAGAGWAATGGGGAAAAGAAGCAAATTGGAGGCTTTCAGAGGAGAATTTGAAGGAGATGTGTGAGCAACAATGGGAAACATCTTGTTCCCTCTCATGGAGAGTTTGGGTGGAAGAATACTGTAAGATATTTTATTACACTAGCACAAAGAAAATACTAAGATACAAGAAATTGGAGGAAATGTGAAGGTAGAGCTGGTCACTTCCATGTGTTGTGGGATTGCACCAACACAGTTCCCTTYTGGCAGGATTTAAAGAATTGCTTTGATAAAGGGCTGGATGTGAGCACTCCATTTCCATTTGAATTATGTCCATGGGAAGCAGGATGGATGGGTTAACAAGACATGCTGAAAAATATTTGTATGTTCATGTTGGTTGCTAGAAAAAGAGCCATAACTAGGAAGTGTTAAACGAGGAAGTACCTAAAAGAGAAGATTGGGTTGAAATAATGCATAATATATATTTGATGGAGAGGCTGACCTATGCCTGGGCGGTAAACCAAAAAATAACCAACATTTAAGACAATAACTGACATAATTTTGCCCGTGTTGGTATTTTAAAAAAAGGAGGAAAAGAGAAACCTGCTTGTTTTCTGTTGCGGTCTTGTTAAAACCGCCCAGCCTGATACAGGTTTAAACAGACRCTGCTTTCAACAAATCAAACGAACCCCACAGCTTTATCCAATCAGAGCAGAGCAGGGCGGAGCTTTCTGATGTYGGTGCAGCAGTCTGCAGGATAAACRGCKGTCAGCCTGCAGCTCCTGTCCTGAGTGAACAAACCTCGTCCTCCACAYTTCTCTCTGAGCTACCAGAGACGTTGGTATCTAAAATCTGACAGATTATAAGTTTCTGTGTTCAGAGCTTTGTTTTCTGACAGATATGTCCAACTTTGCTCACCTGACCAAACTCCTCTCCTCCACAGCGCTGTTACAGGAGTGAGGCGAGGAGCACACAGGCTGTTCTGAGAGCTGCTGTTTCAGCTCTTCTAATGAAACATTAACACTAACAGATGAACTTTAGTTTGTCCCATATTATAGAAAAGATAAGTCTCTGCTTAGCGTTACCCCCGGAAAAAAAACAAAACTTTTTATAGTTTATCATATCCACAAATTACATTCTTCACAATATAGCTTGCTTATAGTTAGAACCACACTGTGACTGAACATCTCTGTGATTCAATAAATGATCAAATATGAAGAATAAATAGTATAAAATGATTACATGAGCTCTAAATAATGGCTTTTTGTAAGAAAGAGACCCGAAAACCACCCGAAACACCTTGTTTAGGGTGGGACTAAGCCCTTCCTGCCCTTATGAACCGGCTGCACCTGGAAACTACCAAGTCTTTAAAACAAATAATAAAAGTGAAAAAACATCTGTCAGTCAGACTACTAATAAACCACAGTCAGACCATTTTTCAGTGATGAAGGTGTAGAATATCCATCCATCCATTTTCTGTACACGCTTCTTCCTTTTCAGGGTCGCGTGGGTCACTGGTGCTCATATCCAGCAGTCACAGTGCGAGGGGCGGGGTACACCCTGGACAGGTCGCAGGTCCATCAGTGTCAAATATTTTGTGTATGTTTGAGGCTGCATAGATAAAATCCTTTTTAAATTAGGCAAACCTTAGCCTGGCCCTTACCTTCCTACGCAGCTCCGCTCAATTCTAGTTTCCTTCTCTGCTCCGTCTGGGACTCCTCCCACTGAGATGGATTTCTCTGGCAGATTTTTAGCCGGGCCAATCAGACAAGAGAAGGTCAATTTTCTGCGCAGTGTCTGCTTGTAGTTTATTTTACCTGGGCCAATCAGAGAAGAGAAGGAGGAGTTTTGAATGATGTTGATTTTCTGCTCAGTGTCTTCTAGTTATTTTAGCATCCTGCAGTGGAGGAAGTGAATGAAGCCAGTCTGTGTTGATAAGGCTTCAAATTAAAATAAATTAGTCTGACAMAGCAGCAGCTCTCATTTACAGTCGTCTTGTTCAGCTCGGTACTTCTCTCCTCTCAGTAGGGTTGTTTACAGCACACGCGATTTCTTGTTAGCTTCTTAGCTTAGCCTCCTTCACAGCGACAMCACACACATGCTTCAGCAGAGGCCACGCCTCCTGCAAGAAACGCTTCTCTGTGCATCAAGTCCAGGGGTTGGATTTATAAAACTGGCGTACGCACAATTTGAGCCCAGAAACTTTTTATGCCAAGGTTGTGATTTATAAAATCCAAACTTGACGTGAAAATGTGCCTCACAGCTCTGACCCATGTGTACGCTCATTTTGGAGACGTGAAACTGTGACACAGATGGTGAAGTGAGGAATTAGAGCCACACTGTGTAATGATCACTGTCAGAGATTTAATGATCACTGTCAGATAGTTTATTTACCTTCAGAATCAGACTTAGATTTTTATTCAACTTTATCATCAGCTTTATTAACAGTAATATTTACGTATGTTTCTGCTGCTGCTGCTGATGCTGCTGCTGC